CGATGATGAAATCGAATAAAAGAAGGATTCATTTGCCTTTACACAACGCTTCCTGTTCGACTCTCATGCATATCGTAATAGTGCCTATTGAGCCCTTTGATAGCTCGACGGATATTTATTTATTTACTCAGCTGTTAGTTTCGTAAATAAGCCTATTCAAAATCACTGCAGTTATCACCGTAATCACAGTTCAATGCTCTTCGCATCCATGTTTGATCAGCTATTTTGCGAATATTGTCCTTATGTGGTTGCAGTTGTGTGAAATTAGGACAATGTCATCAGCAAATCTAATTGTAAGACTGTGTAAAGTTTTCCCATCAATTTTCACACCTTTATTTTGCCAATTGAATCCGAAAAAAGCCGTTTGCGAACGAATCGTTTGCAGGCAGTCAGAAACGGGAACGATGCTATTTCCCATAAAACCTACTGGTTTCCCACACCTCATATCAATCATTTCACACTTTATCTAAACTGCATACTGAATATTACTTACAATTAGACGTCTGCTGGAGATCACAAATCAATTGTACACTTTAGAGCTTATTAACTTTTGCGCATGCACATTTCCACATTCTCATTTGCTGCGTTTCATTGGTGACAATGTTGGTAATCAGCTCGACGGATATACCAGCTTGAATCTAATGACGAAGCACAACACTCACTCACCGGAAACCTCAAAATTCACTTCCCGTGTTCTCATTTTTCGACTAGAAATTTATGAATTGTCGATCATCATCCGGCCTTATTGATATCTGACGTGTTGTTTTCATTCCTCTTGACAATTCTCATGCGATTAGATAAAATGTGTGGCATTAAGCGGTGTTACTATGTCAACTAATCACAAATATTCTTCACTGCTTTCAAAAACTTCTGCTTCAAAACACGACCAATTCTTCCGCTGCCTCGAATCAGTAAAAGCCTCCAGAGCAATTCTCATATTCTCTTTTTTTTTGTACTTCATTGGTGACAAACTTTTCATGAGACAACAATTTCTTCTGTTCATATTCCAGCATAGCACAGACCATATCAATATCGTAATTGTGGTTTGCATAACACCTGAAGCATGCTGCATAGATTTCAATGAAAACTCTAATAAATTTTTCTGAGTTTCGAACTACACCATTATGATGAAAAATTCATATTTTCTAAGCGATTCACATGTTGTGTTATATAATATGTAAATGACATGTAAATAGATCAGCATAGAGCAAACACATATCTAAACCTGCAAAGTATTGAGTGGAAACGATGATCTTTCCCATAAAACCTACTGCTTTCCCATACCGCTTATCAATCATATCCCACTTTATCTAAACTGCACACTGAATATTACTCATCGTCAGTAATCTGCTGAACAGCACAAATCAATCGTACCACTTTTAAACTTATTCATTTTTGCTCATTGACATTTCCCTACTTTCGGCATTTATTTTGTAATAACACTGTTATATATCGAAACACAAAGCATTCATAAGATACAAACACAAAATGGAGGAGATGCTCCAAATGAGATATAAGAATGTCAAATTTCATCATCCGAATCGATAGTGCATGATATCCATGTACATTTTATACATATACAGCTAAGTACAGATTTAAAGGTTGATTTCAAATATCACTTCGGTGACCCGCACGAATCGCCTCTTTTCCGCTCCGTCGCGACACCTACTGATCATTAATAGTGGCTGTCTTCACATGAACCTGTAATAGTTGCTAAGGCAATTTTTTTAATGACGCTAAAACCATTCCAATTAGAAACTACAACTTAGAAATAAGTGAATGGAAATTTGTTGAATGTTAACAGATAAAGTGCATGAGCGCTAAACTAAAGTATAGAATAGATGCGAATAATTCCAAGTATGAGGCGATCATGTGTGCCGCATGAGACAGCAACAGCCAACATTGATGACTTAATCGTTGCTCATCACTCATCCATCGTTTCGAGGTAAAATGTAATAGCATAAGAGGATTTGCAGATAGTGACCAGCAAGACTCTAGTGGATAGATAGATTTCAATGAACACTCTAATGAAGTTTTATTTCAAATCAATATTTTTCTGAGTTTTTAAATACTGATATATGCCATTCTATCGCTTAGTTCACTTAATCGCTATCTATATATATTCAGTGAAAGTGGATTGACTCGAAGAGACGAGATTGTAGTTGGAGCTTTAAGACAACTGAACTTACGCAATAGGATGATTGAAGAACGCCTGAATGCGTTCATTCTTGTCCATACGTACCCTATTCTAGTTGTTTTTCCGAGACTAGCAACTGATGAGAACTGAAAGACTGTCTTAGCGTACAAAGAAGAAATTGGTTGGAGGCAAATATGTCATCGAGAAAATCTGGTAAGCTGAAAGTTTTGTTAAATTTATTGCGAATTAAATTATGATTTCACCGTTTTTTTCGGAGAAATGTTTCTGTTCGTCGCTCTGAAATTATGCGAGACCAGTTGATCAAGTCGATTGATCAAATGTTACAGTGATATAGAGTGACTGTTATGGCTATCGTGAAATGATTTTGTTGCGATTGTTCTGAAAATTGTCACTAAGTTAACGGGATTAAGATGAATGTGTCCCACAATGGGATTTCCATGTTTTGCGAGTGGTCATGTCTGATGAGGGTATTAACAATCATGAAACTTCAGTGATTTATCAGATTTGCTAATATTTATGGAAAAATTTTTGAAAAGTGTCAGAATGAAAGCTTTTACTTGAGAGAATAGACGAGTTTGCTTTCGTAAGAGTTGAGTTCGTGTTTTATCAACTTACATATTTCGAAATGTTACGATACTGGTTATCGATTCTGAGCATACTGATGACTTTTGGAAATATGAGAGCCCAATTCAAGATGCTAAAAAATAATATCTTACGTAAGAATGATTAAGAAGTGTTTTGCAGCCAAGAACGTTGTCATATGGTCTGATTTACAGTCGACCGCAGAGGGGGACATTATGAAAACGCTCACAATCGACTTCAATCGTACTCATCCAGTGTTCATGTGTTGCTTTCGTTGTATGCATATAAAGGTTTGATGTTGTTGGACTGTATGTTTTGATGATAGTCATGCATTTCTTTGAATTATATCAGTTCTGATGGAAGCATCGTTAATCAGCAGAAGTAAAAGGCATATAATGCAACACCATTAAAAGCATTTGAAAAAGTGTGGCGAATAAAAATTCAAAAGGTATTTATTTACTTTCAGACAGCAACAGCCATAATTGCATTCATATCGTTGTTCGGGCTATGTTTTAGTCTATTTTGGCGATTGAAATCATCGCAAGAGAATCGAGCCGGCTCAACGAGTTTGAAACTGAGTGCTATTCCGATTATTGTGGTCATAATCACGATTCTTTATCTGTTCATTGGACTCGTTCGTAAAGTGCCCAAATATCTTCTACCATTCATTTTCGTGC